ATTTTTATTTTATTATTTTATTATAATTTGTCTCTAAAATTTCTAATAATTCTTCCTTTCCTCGTAGCTTTAACTTGACTAGACTTTGATTTTAATGATTTGTCTTTTGCTTTTTTGTCTTTTGCAAACGAAAAGCTGTCTCTCTGTTTCACATTTTTTCTCAGGCAAAGACCCTTCATCAAGTGAACTTGGCATTGTCTTCTTGAGTTGAAAGACTTGAAACGGTTAGGCTCTCCTCACTTGTACACTCAAAACCCAAATGCCCCTCTTGGTGCTTCTGTGATCATTGAAGAAGAAGCAGCTCTCTTGAAGTCTAGTTCACTGGGAGGACTTCTCTATTTTTTTGGGTAAAACTCAATCCTCTCATTTCATCTCTTTTGATTTTGTGGTAAAAATTGAAGGGTAGGATTTTCTAAAGTAAACACGTTTACGCTGTATTTGGTTGGCTGTATTTGGTTGGGAGATTTGGAAAGTGATTTGGAAAGGGCAAGGGAAAATGGGTGTGAAATTAGGTGAAATATAGGCATGTTTTAAAAGTATTTTGTTCTTGGATGAGGAATTTTGTGATGTTCCATGTATGTATTTTATTTTCAATATTAGGTAATTTTAAAAAATCATGAAAATGGGATGTTTGATGCTACTACTTGTTAGATGCCATGCCTAGGGTGTTTTATCTTCAAAGTCCATGAAAAAAGGAGTACTCAAAATTAATTTATCTTGAATGGCATGTTAGAGTATGGCTGATTATCATAATCACCATGCGGATCGTAGGATCTTACAATTGTATCACCCCAATTGGGCCAAACAACCCGGATCTCATTAGGATCTTAAATTGTATAACCCCAATTGAGCCAAACAATCCGGATGACATTAGGATCTTAAATTTTGTAAAATCATACTACAATCATGATTCTACTACGATCCCATTACAACCAAAAAAAAATTGTTGGTATTTATTACTTACATATGTATGTCTATATGAAAAATTCTGCCATAAATCCCTCTTGAAGCATCTCCTCTAATAAATGTTAGCATAGAAGATGCCTTATATCAAATTATCATTTTTTTTAATGATTTTAAAATTATTTTACATACATTATTATTACAAATAATTTTTCACTTTATTTTGCATTAAAATTAGAATCTTACAATTCTCAATCTGATTCTATGATCCGATTCATGACTCTCTCCCAAAAATCCCACATAAGATCCCGATTTTAACAACCTTGTGTTAGATGGTTGTTAAGATCGAGATTCTACATAAGATCCGTGTGAGGGTATTGTGGATTGGATTGGATCGGGTCGTAGGATTGGATGATCTTCGGGTCGTAGGATTGGATCGAAGATCATAAGATTGTACCTCCTATTAAAAATAAGGTAAAAATACAAATAAGGATGATACATATTAAAAATAAGGTGAAAAATCACAAGTCCTACACTATCCCACATGATCCTACTTGCGATCCTACTATAACACTGATTTGGATCATTTTGACAATATAGAATCGTACGATCCTGCGATGTGCATTGCCATTTTGACAACCATGATGTAAAATGAAAATTTTGAGGTATTAGGTGTTTTATGCGATGTTATTGAAATGTATAACTTTTCTATACATTTTGGTAGATTAGGGCTTTATTTTTAAAGCCATGTACCTTTGAAACTTTATTTTAGATAAATTGTGTGAAGTATTTGATTTATGATTAAAGGTGTAAGTTCACATGATTAATATGCTTTGGATGATATTTTGGGAGATTGGATGTCAAGTAAGTGGAATGCAAAGTATTTGATTTATGATTAAAGGTGTAAGTTCACATGATTAATATGCTTTGGATGATATTTTGGGAGATTGGATGTCAAGTAAGTGACATTTTTATTGAAAATAATGAAGTATATGAATTAGTGCTTGTCTATGTGCTCACATGCTTTATAATTTTCTAAAATGATTTTGAAAGTGAACTTAGGTTAGGCTTTATTTTAATGCTTATGTTTTGTTTGGGAAAAGATGAATTTTATTATGAAATTTTAAAAGTTGGAAACATTGTCAACATGTTTAGATGATTGTCAAATAAAATGGAATTTTAATCATGATTAAATAACAAGTTTGCAAGTTTCAAAACTGGAACCGTATTCTGGGTTATTAAACCCTAACGTAATCATGAACTTCTTCAATTGGTTTGGCTTTTTAGGTATTGACTTACCTTGTTTTAGTTCATCTCATTAGGTTTAGACATCCAGGGTGTGACATAATATGTGATATAATTAACAATGCAAACATAGCACATGCTACTAAAAGGACTATTAGTTACAGAAAAATATATTTTTTGCACAATTGAGGAACAAATAGTTTAACCTCATGAAATAAAGTTTATTACTGGAACTCTAATGCGAAAGATAAATGTTGCACATAGGTCTCAAGGTGTTTAGATAGAGAATGATGCTTTGATTTAAAAAAAGAAAAGAAAAAAAAGATCAACAACCTTTAACTAAAATTTCATAAAAATAAACCAAACAATAAATTATATAGCATCAATTTTTAAAAATGAGACAACTACAAAACCCAAATTGTATTCACATGAGTCAAATTTAACTATTATCATCTGTTGGATTAAAAATGGAAACTTGATGGCTATCAATTCTAAAAAGAGACAAAACAACTGGAATGGAGAGAATTTCACAGTTGAACACATTTTAGTTGATGTGGCATTTACTCAGTGGTAAACCATAAACAAAGGAAAATGCATTGCATTAGTTTTTTTTTTTAATAAATTTTTTAACCTAGTACTACTTTGGTACTTTATTTTTTAATCAAATTTTAGGAGACCATATAGCGCCAATTTTGCATACCTTTACTAAGGAAAATTCATGTCCAGTCGAACTTAATAGAATTTTTAGTTGTTATTATATATGTTAGGATCTCGCTACGATATATTTCATGGTGAACTTTGTTACATTTTGTTTTGTATTGTTAAAACAGCCATGGAAGCATCAACTTCTTCTGAGGCTAACTTTCAGATTCCAGCCATATCCCACATACCACTTTCTGTTCCATCTGGATATGAAGTCGACTTAGCGATCTCAGGGTTTACAAGGTAAGTTAGTACAAAAATATTGGGTTAGGAAGTGTTCTTATGTGGGCTTTATTTATTTATTTGTGTAGTTTTATGTTTACAACTTATCTATGAAGGGCAAAATAATATTCATCAATGTTCTTTCTCTACTTATTAATCCACATGTGTCGTGCTCAGTGTTTCATTTTTATCCCATGTTTGGATAAAGAGGGTTGTGTAACTTGAAAATCCCTGAATATGCAAATAACTGCTAAGGTATTACCTATAAATAGGGCTACAAACGAATCAAGCAGTTCATGAATAGCTCAAGCTTGGGTCATTTAAAGCTCTTTTGTATATGGCTCGTTTACTAAATGAATGAGTTCGAGCAAAATTTTTAGGTTCATTTATTAATCAATTTGAGCTCAAGTAGACCAAAACGTGCCTAATGTAGGCTCGTGAACACAAATGCTATATTAATTAATATTCATTTTTAATAATATATTTTCATGAATTTAATTTATTTCGGTATTTATGTTTGGAGTTTTTGCTATTACTTACATTTTGCACGTAATCTTCTTTTTTCCTCTTAATTTGCATGTTAATTTAAGTTTTAATTTTCCTTCAATGCTCAAGCTTGACCTTGGCTCTTTTAAGTAATCGAGTGACTCGAGCCGAGCTTGAGTTTCACAAATACTAGATGAGTCAAGCTTGAGCTTGATTTTTTTAAGCTCCACTCAAGCTCAACTCAAACTCGAGCTTAACAAATTTTCAACAAGCCAAGATCCAGCATCCCAAAGCTCGGCCTGATCGATTTGCATTCCTATACAAATTTGTAAGGAACTCATTGCTCCTTCCTTTAAGCGTTTCAAAAAATGGGCAAGGGGCACCACATCAGCGCTTGAGTGTAGTAAAAAGAAGGCAAGGGTTTTTACTAAACTAGCGCAGGTAAAGAAATTAGTCTAGGATTGTAGGTATAGATTAGCAATGTTGAATATATGAACACTAATAGGTAAAACCATGAAATTAGTAAATATTATGATTAGAAGAAAAGAATATAGAATGTTTACAAGTGTAACAATGTAGTAACGATGTAGAAGAAAAAGTTAATGAAATTTGTGTATAAAATTTACTAGGTGTGAAATCGGCCCGGTTTTGCATTTTTTAGATAGAACTGGTAAAATCGGTGTTCTACACTAATAGCACCGACCAGACCGACCAAAACAGGTAAACTGGACTGGACTAGTAAATTCGATTTCGGTTTGGTTCGGTGCGGTTTACCGGTTTGGGCATTTGTTTTAAAAAAATAAAATAATTACCTTCATTTTTTTTTTTTAATTTTAAAAAAATATCATTCTAATTAAGATATAAGGCGACAAACAACAACGTAATTGCACCAGACTAATTTATCAAATATCAAATTAAACAATAGTAAGAGGTAATGCTGGTATATTATTGGAATGTTCGGTAAATTCGGCATAATCAGTAAATTCGATTCGGTTCGGTTTGACGTGAAATCTCCAAAACCAAACACTGAATCGAATTTCAGGAAAAAAGAATCTCAACACAGACTGATTATTTGGTGGTGCAGAAAACAGACCGAAAACCGGTCGGTTTGTTCAGTGTAGGCGTTCACCCCTAAAATTTGCCATACTGGAAAGATACATAGAAATGACATAGTAATAATTGTAATGAAGCATCTTAAAGACAGGTAGAAAAAATATTGTTTTCATAGAATGTGCAAAATTGAAAAACAAATGGTGAAATCTAAGAAGTGAGGAATTAGAATTATTAAAGGATAAAATGTTGAAAGAAGCAACATAAAGTTTGGAAGTTGATGTGCTTAAATTTTGCTTAGTTCTTGACGCAAAATGCCAATTGGGTTGAGATTCCAATTGGGTTGTGTATCCTCGAAGACAAGCTTGTTCCTAACCTTCTGAATTGTCCACAAAATTGCAAATGCAATCACTTCCCATACAGCACTGACCTTTCTAACACTACCATCATCCAAAGAACACTCAATATTTGACACAAAGAAATTAAACAAAGTAGGGCACCTACCTTCCATTGCAGTGATATCTTTCCAAATCCTGGATGAATTGTATGAAGATGTGCCAAAAGGAAGCCAGGAGTTGTTCACATTGCCTGATTTGCTGCAGATAATTCTCTTCAAAAGAGCATTCCTTTGTGTGCCAAATCTCCCCCACCATATCATCAAAAGACATTCAATTCATTTCCCTGATTTTTCTGATTCCCAATCCTCCAACCTCTTTACTTTCTGTAACACTTTCCCATTTGTGGTAAACAAATGTGATCATCATAACATTATTGCCCCTTTTTAATGCAAAGTGTTACAATATAGCGAAGGGAGAGAGACAAAGTATTACAATATACCAAATAGAGTGAAATAGAGGAGTTCTGGAGAGAATAGAATATCAGTACATGATCTAGGCTTTCTTCTAGTTGTACTCTAGTGCTTCATGATTTAGACTTGTCATCTTTTTCAATAGTTCACGTATTTTACTTACATATATATATGCACAACTTTTTATACATTCACAGAATACAAGAAATGTTTCGGATTGTGATTTTGTTTTGCACTAGTTGATTTGGGTTCCCTTGCCTAGTTTGGATATGAATGCATCTGATCTTAATCCTATCTATCATATGACACCTCGTGTAGTTTTTTGCAATCTGACGCCGGATCAAAAGTCGGTTCACTTCCATTGATTTCAAGCCTTGATGGTCTGGGAAAGCTGCAATCTGTTGAAGGAATGACTATTCAAAAAGCTTTTGAATTGATGAACAGAGTCAAACCCATTCAGGTGCCTTATTCTGCTTATAATCAGTATTTTGAAATAATTGTTCTTCTCTTGCACTTGGACAAGATCCATTTCCCACTTGGACAAGACATTATTTATTTATTTATTTATTTATTTTTTGATAAATCACTTGGACAAGACATTATGCTTTCAATGATTGAGTAGCAATTAATGATATGAGGTACACTCGCAACCAAGGTTTTAAATAATGCAACCAAGGTATTGGATGACGCAGCTGTAAAATTTTAAATCATCAGCTGTGAAAGAACTGCATAGAATTGAACTGACCTGACATATCATCTCTGAATCAGATCATGAATCAGCTATGAAGTGATATATATCGTGAACCGGTCAATATGCATGCGATTTTTGTTCCCACTGGTATACCAGAGTGTATCGGTATTAAAGGCCAAAAAAACATCGTATCGGCTGGTATTGGTATATATCATTCGATATTTAAAATCATGTTCACGACATGTTCCAAAGTGATCATTGTTGAATCCCTTTGAATCATTTATATGACCAACTTGCCTATCTTTTTCTTGAAAAAAAGTATGATTTTGGTTTGAATAGAAAGAATAAAAGTCTCTTAATAAATCACCCACAAAGAACATAAGGAATATTATTTGCTAATCTTTTGAATTAGTTAATCACGCGACAAGGAGCTTAAATTTTAAGCAGTTATTGTCATGAAAATTATTTTCTTCAATTTATGTCCTCTAAATCTATTGGACCCACTTTGTATGTAGGATTTGGTCAAGCGTATAGTAACTAAAGCAGAGATGTGGAATGTTTTCATAAACAGTAATGAAGTTAAGGAATTCGAGCGGCAGCTGCAGACAGGTTCACAAATGCATTTATTTACTAATGATATTTAAAATATTGGTAATGTTAGGATAACCATCCTTTCCTTGTCACAATTGGTTACCATCTTATTTGTCAGCATTGTATTAGTTTAATGGATTCCACTACTCATGTTTATTACCAATGCAGTATTGACACACATGAGATGTTAAGCAAAACATGATACAAAAATATAGTTATCATAGTATTATTGTTGCAATAATTGTACATCTTTCATAATACTAATTTTATATTAATCACATTTTAGTTTAGTTTAATTTAATATTAATCACATTAACAAAACCTAGGTTGATCAATAGAAATCCTACCTTAAACTGATCCTACATGTCCGAGACCTTTACTATATATCATGCTAAGATGAATTTTTGCTTTGATTATGTTTTGTTTTCTCCAAAGTGGTTGATTAATTTTGCTCATTGGTCTCATATATTTGTCTCTAGTAAAGTGATATGATTACATTGGTCTTATTGTTGGGAGTGCAACTTGCCTTCTCCTATACCTCTTCTACCCACTATGTTAGAAACCAAATGTTTTGGTTTTTAAAAGTGAAAATTTTGTTGCAAAAGACACTTAGAGACCAATTTCCATCGTCATGAGGATAGTAGCTAAAAGGTTATCAAGAAAAGCCAAAAACAAGGCATTTAGCGACAAAATTTTGAAAATGTCACTAATAAATAGATTTTTAGGGACAAAATAATTTGGTCTCAAAATAGTTAATTTTTTTGGATAAAAAATTTGGTCTCAAAAAGATAATAATTCATCACTAATGTCTAATTTTGTTGCTGAAAATATAATGACACTTTTCGCAACAAAATTGTTTGGCCCCTAAAAAATGATTTTGTTTCCCAATCCTCCAACCTCTTTACTTTCTGTAACACTTTCCCATTTGTGGTAAACAAATGTGATCATCATAACATTATTGCCCCTTTTTAATGCAAAGTGTTCCAATATAGCGAAGGGAGAGAGACAAAGTATTACAAGAGTGAAATAGAGGAGTTCTGGAGGGAATAGAATATCAGTACATGATCTAGGCTTTCTTCTAGTTGTGCTCTAGTGCTTCATGATTTAGACTTGTCATCTTTTTCAATAGTTCACGTATTTTACTTACATATATATGCACAACTTTTTATACATTCACAGAATACAAGAAATGTTTCGGATTGTGATTTTGTTTTGCACTAGTTGATTTGGGTTCCCTTGCCTAGTTTGGATATGAATGCATCTGATCTTAATCCTATCTATCATATGACACCTCGTATAGTTTTTTGCAATCTGACACCGGATCAAAAGTCGGTTCACTTCCATTGATTTCAAGCCTTGATGGTCTGGGAAAGCTGCAATCTGTTGAAGGAATGACTATTCAAAAAGCTTTTGCATTGATGAACAGAGTCAAACCCATTCAGGTGCCTTATTCTGCTTATAATCAGTATTTTGAAATAATTGTTCTTCTCTTGCACTTGGACAAGATCCATTTCCCACTTGGACAAGACATTATTTATTTATTTATTTTTTGATAAATCAATTGGACAACACATTATGCTTTCAATGATTGAGTAGCAATTAATGATATGAGGTACACTCACAACCAAGGTTTTAAATAATGCAACCAAGGTATTGGATAATGCAGCTGTAAAATTTTAAAATCATCAGCAGTGAAAAGAACTGCATAGAATTGAACCGACCTGACATATCATCTCTGAATCAGGTCATGAATCAGCTATGAAGTGATATATATCGTGAACCGGTCAATATGCATGCGATTTTTGTTCCCACTGGTATACCAGAGTGTATCGGTATTAAAGGCCAAAAAAACATCGTATCGGCTGGTATTGGTATATATCATTCGATATTTAAAATCATGTTCACGACATGTTCCAAAGTGATCATTGTTGAATCCCTTTGAATCATTTATATGACCAACTTGCCTATCTTTTTCTTGAAAAAAAGTATGATTTTGGTTTGAAATTGAATAGAAAGAATAAAAGTCTCTTAATAAATCACCCACAAAGAACATAAGGAATATTATTTGCTAATCTTTTGAATTAGTTAATCACACGACAAGGAGCTTAAATTTTAAGCAATTATTGTCATGAAAATTATTTTCTTCAATTTATGTCCTCTAAATCTATTGGACCCACTTTGTATGTAGGATTTGGTCAAGCGTATAGTAACTAAAGCAGAGATGTGGAATGTTTTCATAAACAGTAATGAAGTTAAGGAATTCGAGCGGCAGCTGCAGACAGGTTCACAAATGCATTTATTTATTAATGATATTTAAAATATTGGTAATGTTAGGATAACCATCTTTTCTTGTCACAATTGGTTACCGTCTTATTTGTCAGCATTGTATTAGTTTAATGGATTCCACCACTCATGTTTATTATCAATGCAGTATTGACACACATGAGATGTTAAGCAAAACATGATACAAAAATATAGTTATCATAGTATTATTGTTAAAATAATTGTACATCTTTCATAATACTAATTTTATATTAATCACATTTTAGTTTAGTTTAATTTAATATTAATCACATTAACAAAACCTAGGTTGATCGATAGAAATCCTACCTTAAACTGATCCTACATGTCTGAGACCTTTACTATATATCATGCTAAGATGAATTTTTGCTTTGATTATGTTTTGTTTTCTCCAAAGTGGTTGATTAATTTTGCTCATTGGTCTCATATATTTGTCTCTAGTAAAGTGATATGATTACATTGGTCTTATTGTTGGGAGTGCAACTTGCCTTCTCCTATACCTCTTCTACCCACTATGTTAGAAACCAAATGTTTTGGTTTTTAAAAGTGAAAATTTTGTTGCAAAAGACATTTAGGGACCAATTTCTATCGTCATGAGGATAGTAGCTAAAAGGTTATCAAGAAAAGCCAAAAACAAGGCATTTAGCGACAAAATTTTGAAAATGTCACTAATAAATAGATTTTTAGGGACAATCATAAGAAAAGATAATGAATATATTATCTCACCTATTTAGGTGCCAATGGACCAGAGGCAATAACAAGCAGCAACCCGCAGACACAGGGCATTAGCTATAGTCAGCATCAGTCGTCAGGTCTCTCTAATTCATTGTATTCACTTTTATGATTTTAAATATCAATCGATATGTATTATATCAACTTATACATATCAGTTTTAAATTTTCTTGATATTGATACATTTATCGATTGATACATATTGACTTTTTTTATGTCTTGATATTGATACACTTCATTTTGCTAATGGTAATAAAATTAGGGTGAAATACACTCATTGTCCTTGTCGTTTGCCTCTTATATAAATTTGGTTTTTGTAATTCTAATTGCATTGATTTTACCTTGACTTTATCACATTATGTCAATTTAGTCTAATTCATAACAACATTTAGAAATTGGACTGAATTCATAGAGTAAAATAGTCAATTCACTCTCATCAGAATGATTGAGGGGTTGGCATTCAATTTGAAATGGTCCATTTCTTTCTGGAACGAACTATTTTGCTCTAGATGGCTATTCAATTTCTTAATGAATATTATCGATTGAACTAAATTGATACAATCTGAAAAATTGCAGGGATAATATGTATAATTTGTCCTAAAAATTATTTGCATGTAGACTAGAAAAGTGTGATGGTCCACATCTAAAATAAATCTAATCTATATATCTAAATTTTTTGGTTTTTAAGTATTTTTTGGGCTATGTAATCTTATTGTTACAAAAATATCATTAAAAAAGGTAGTGAATATATTATCTCACCTCTTTAGGTGCCAACATCATAGTGACAAATCTCAGCACCACCCAGCAGACGCACAACAATCTCTCGAGTCAGCTTCGGTCATCAGGTCTTTCTAACTTCATTGCATTTCCTATGAGTTTAAGGGCCTGTTTGGTAACCATTCTGTTTTTAGTTTATATTTACAAAATTTAAAAAACTATCATAAAAACTTGTTTGATAATTTTCTTGGTTTATAAATGGTTGTCTCAATTTATAAATTTGAGGAAAAAATGTAAACTCAAAAAATGAGTTTACGTTTTTAGTTTTTAATTTTTTTTTTCAAATAATTTTTTTTTCAAATAATTTTTTTTCAAATATATTTTTTTAAATAATTTTTTTCAAATATTTTTTTCCCAATTAAATTTTTTTTCAATTATTTTTTTAATTAATTTTTTTTCATTTTTTTCAAATTATTTTTTTTCAATTAATTTTTTTTTCAAATATTTTTTTTAATTAATTTTTTTTCAATTATAATGTGTGTGATCCCATTGTCATAAATAAAAAAAATAAATATAAATATTTTAGGCCTGAACAAATTTATTTTTTAGTTTATGATTTCAAATTTTTTTAAACATTTTGTTCAAACCAAACGCATTTGTAATTTATGTTTTTTTTAAAATAAACAAAAACAAGTTTATAAAATTTTTGTAAACATAAACTAAAAACGTAAACGTTACTGAGCAATACCTAATTATTTGAACGATATGTCTTATATTGGTTGATACATGTTGATCTTTTCGTTTCTCGGTTTCATACATTCCAATTAGAGTGGTGATTCATTCCACTAATTTTTGGACCACTAATAGCTCTAATGAGCTTAAAAAATAAATAAATAAATAAACTCAAGCCAAAACATCACATCACTTTGGTGGGGGCCACTGTGCCACATCATTGGTGATGCTCAAGAGCTCCCAATTTAGTGCTCTAAAACATTATTCTTCCAATTATATATGGTAGTAATAAAAATTAGGGCAAAATCCAATTTACCCTTTTGTGGTTTGGCCCCATAGCATTTTATTGCATAATCTTTCAAAAATAGCCAAAGATCTCCTATGTGGTTTAATTACATTTTTCATCCAAATTTGATTGAAATTGTCATACATGCGCCAATTTCGAGAGTTGGAATGATTTTTCATTTAAATGAAATTCAAATAATGTTGTAAAATGACATTTTTATCCATGTATTTGCATAATGAAATTTTGCCCTGGTTGTCGTTGTCTTCTCCACACCCTACAAACCCTAATAACTAGCCTTCCCTGTCGCCCCTGTTCCCTTCCTAGCTCTAGCCTTGATCCCCTCTCCCAATTCTGACCTCCCCTATGATCCCCTTCTCCCCTTCCCAGCCCCCTCGTCATTATCCTCCCCAAACATGTTTTTGTTCGGGTTTTCTTGTGTATAGTCAACATTTTGCATAATTTAGTCTTTTTTAAAAAAAAAAAAAAAAAAGAAAGTAAGATAAACTAAAAAAATTAACTTACATATGAAAAAAGTTAACTAAAGGCAAAAGAAAATTTGTCTAAAAATAGTTTTTGAAAAATCAAATCAAATCAAATAGAGCATCTATTTTGAAGTAATTTTTTGGGCTATGCAATATTATTTTTTCAAAAATATTATTAAAAAATGTAGTGAATATATTATCTCATGTCTTCAGGTGCCAACAACGTAGTGAGAAACCCAAGCATCAGCCCTCAACTGCACAATACCTTCTACAGTCAACAACAATCATCAGGTCTTTCTAACTTAATTGTATTTCCTATGATTTTAAATATTGAACGGTATGTATTATATTGGTTCATATATGTTGATTTTTTTGTTTCTTGATATTGATACATTTAAGTATACCAATTGATACATTTAGATTTTTTGATTTCTCAATATTGATATGGTGATTATAAATATTAGGGGAAAATTCAATTTAAACCCATGTGGTCTGGCGTCGTAGCACTTTACCCTTTTATCATTCAAGGGTAGCCAAAGATCTCCCTTAAGATTTTGGACAAAAGTGAAATCGTTATATTTTTTGTCCAAATTGATTGAAATTGTCACAAATGCACAAATTTCAAGAGTTGGAATGATTTTTCATTTTTAAATGAAATTCAAAGAGTGTTGTAAAATGACATTTTTACCCTTGTGTTTGCATAAGGAATTTTTGCCCCTGTTGTCTTCTTCTCCATACCCTACAAACCATATCTCTAACAGCCAACGCTCTATGTTGCACCTATTCCCTCCCCAGCCCTAGCATCAAGCTTAGCCCTAACCCCGACTTCCATTTCCGACCTCCCCTGTGACCCCCCTCTCCCCTCCCTAAATTAATATAATTTGAAAAATTACAGGGACCATCAGGTATAATTTGGCCTAAAATTTATATGCATATAATAAAAGTGTGATGGGTCACATCTAAAATGAATCTAATCTATACATCTAAAAATTGTTTTAATTAATTTTTGAGCTATGCAAAATTATTGTTACAAAAATATCATTAGAGAAGGTAGTGAATATATTGTCTCACCTCTTTAGGTGCCAACAACATAGTGACAAATTCGAATAGCAACCTACAAATGCATAACCCGCTTCTCTAGTCAGCAACAGTCATTCGGTTTTTCTAACTTCATTGTATTTCCTATGATTTTAAATATCAATTCGTACATTATTATTATTATTATTAATATATTTTTGTGTTTGTCGATATTGGTACATTCTAATATACCAATTGATGTGTCTAGATATTTTGATTTCTTAATATTCATAAATTTCCGTATATATATGGCGGCAATAAAAATTAAGGAAAAATCCAATTTTACCCCTTTGTGGTTTGGCCCCGTAGCTCAAAATAGACAAAAATTTTCCTTATGGTTTTGGATTAAAGTGAAACGGTTACATTTTTTTCCCCCAAATTGACTAAAATTGTCACAAACTCAAATTTCGTAAGTTGGAATGATTTTTCATTTAAATGAAATTGAAATAATGTTGTAAAATGACATTTTTACCCATTGCCTCACCAGCTCTAACCCTAGCCTTAATCCCCTCTCCCATTTCTAACCTCCCTTGTGATCCCCCTCTCCCCTCCCCGACCCACTCATCGTGATCCCTCTCCCATTCTCATCCTCCCATGACCCATTGTATATAGTTGTATATGTATATATATTACTTTTATTTATTATGTGCGTTAAATTAAAGTTTAGGTTAAAATTTTAAAAAATAGGTTAAATACAATGGATTTTGTGTTAAATAATTGGTTAAGAAATTATATTTAAAGTTTAGATTCATTGCCTTGTAGTTTCCCTCTTATATCAATTTGGTCATTGTAATTCTAATTGCATTGATTTTACCTTGACTTTGTCATATTATGTCAGTTTAGTTTAGTCCAATTCAGAATATGTATTTTGCTCTTGATGTCTATTCAATTTCTTAACGAATATTATCAATTGGACTAATTTATACAATCTGAAAAATTACAGGGACTATAGGTATATATTGGCCTAAGGATTATATGCATATAGACTAGAGAAGTGTGATGGATCACATCCAAAATGAATCTAGTCTATACATCTAAAATTTTTATTTTTAAGTAATTATTTTAAGCTATGTAATATTATTGTTACAAAATTATCATTAAAAATGATAGTGAATATATTATCTCACCTCTTCAGGAGTCAACAACATAGTGAGAAATCCCAGTAGCAACTTGTCACACCCCAAACCCGGGCATGACCGGTCGTGGACCACATGGCCTTAGCCCAAGGCACATGTAAGCCTAAACATGAATCCATAATCACATAGAATAAATGTAACAATAGTTCAGAAATAAATAAATCAAAACTCAATCCAGTGACATGTCACAAGTATAAACGGGCAAAACCAACCCCAATAAATATCATCCGAACAAATGGGACACAAACAGTCCACATAACAAAAAAATTCTAAATGAATCTCAATCAAAAAGTATGCACAAAATTGACACAACAATCTGGGGAAAAAAAAATGAATGTCCTAGAGGTCAATGCAATTGAGTCCCCGCTACGTCATGAGTCCACTCTAAGTCCTTCTATCACTTTGAAATGATAAACAACTAAGTCAGCTGATAACTCAGTGAGTAGAAGCATGAATAGTAAATATAGTTTTGAAAACAGGGTTCAATTCCAAAATAAGATATATATCACAAAAATTAGATTAGCATATAGTTTTGATAAAGACAATCTGTTTCAAAAAGAAGATTCCACAGTTCAACAGTTAAAAATATTTATGTCTCTCAAGAACATAACAAATGACATTCTAAACTTAAAACAGATTACAAGATGATCATCAATAATTTGGGTACCATGATTAACAAGTTGCCACAAGCTTTTCAAGGCTATAAGCCTGTTGGATCCAATATCGAACCAAGAATCATCCTCGGGGTGGCAATCCGGGCCTTTTCTCTAAGACGATCCGATTGAAGATCACGTAGCCTAGCCCGGGTCTTTTCCTTACAATCGTTGAGCACTAGAGTCATCACAGCCCAACTCGGATTTGTTCCCTAATGGCTAGAATCACCACACACAGTAGAATAAATTTCCTGGACTTTTATATATAGATGGTCCCAATAATCAATACAATTCAGTTTCGCAAAACATGATAGTTCACCATTATAAACATGAGACTATTTCAAACAATTTATTGAATGCAAAGTTTATACATGTTTCAGAAATAATTTTATTCCATTGATAATATAATAATTTTATCAAAACAGTTTAGTCCTGAAACAACAATTTAATTTTCTAACAGTTCAGAGTAAGGGAACATTTATAAAAATATGTAACATGCAACTACTAACCTGAAAACGGAATAATATAATTCTAATAGAGTATAAAAGTCCAACTAGTGCCCTGAACCAAGTATGAAAACTACATGTCATTACTAATTTAAAAATACTAAAAAGAATAAGAAACTAAGTAACTAAGTAACTCGAATCTAAAGCGCACTAACATGGCTCAACCTAACTCACCGTTACTCTTAAATAATACATAAGTTCATATTCTTCAAGGTCTAAAATTACCCAAAACATGGGTTTAGATTAAAACTTAATTAAATATGACTTTGAGATAAAATAGAATTTTAAACAGGTTTTCTCAATCTATTCGCTAACTTTGAAAATTAAAAACCCACTCCATGCTGTTCAAAAAATTCCCAAACCCTCCAGATATCAACTAATATATCCTAAGTTTCAAACCCAATTCAAACAGGTCGCTTTCTGCAGCACTTTAAACAAATTGACGGTTCTCTTAATATACACGAGCAATCAATGCAAGGCCAAAAATGTAAGAAACTAGACTCGTAACCGGTTCTAATGACACTGATTTGATAATTTTCAGATTTATACTCAAAGAGAACGACACTTCCGAAGTTACTATTAGTACTAATTTTCTGGACAGATTTGAACGCATCAATTTATATAGTTTTTGACTCCCAAAAATTATAAGAAAATTTTGGTATGAAATTCAATATGTAATTAAGCTACTGTTAAAATTTCAACTTAAAATTCGTTCGTTTGATATATTTCCTTCACCTCTATTCATGATTGTACTATATAGCAAATAACATCAACAGTGAATATTAAATATTAGATGAATATTAACCCCTCCCCTTGGTACCATCTCCAACTCCCAGAGTCAATCCACGGCTAGGACATACCAACATACATAAAGTAATATACATAGAATGTTTACCTATTTATGAGAGTTCCTTTCCCTCAGATTTCTTCAACGATTCTCCTCAATTCTTTGCTACTCTCTGTCTCCCCCTCTCACGGCTCACGGTAACTTGGAGAGGAAAATAAATAATAAGAAAAGAAAATATACTTACAACCTATGTTACCAGAAAATGCTAATATCCTAGTGAATTACGTATTGGTACACACGTTCCAAAACATGGTATATTTTCGTTCCAAAACGATAAATTTAGTGATCTAAAGCGATCCCGAAATTTTTTTCCAATATATTACCTTAAATGTTAACTTTAGGAGAAAAAAAAATCAAATATATGAACTAAAATTTAAGGCGAGTTAAGTTTTGACAAGACAAAAAATCAAATATGGGTCATAATTTTCATAGAAATGATTTGCTACATGAAAGAACAAGAAAAAATTTTATTGGATACTTAATTGTTAAAAGAAAATTACTCTAGAAGTACCTTAAATTCTTAAGTGTAATACTATGAAGCACGGACACCTCTTCGAGGGCTTCGTACCAGTGTCGGACACATGTCGGACACGGACACGCGTCAGATACACGGTGGACATGTGTCCGACATGCAGCAGAGAGTGTCCCATTTTTTTTTTAATTTTTTTTACATCCTGACATGTTATAGACACTTTTGGGACACGTTCGGGGGTAATTTCACAATTTACAAAACTTTTTGGGGTGCGATTTGTAAATAAGTAAAAACAGAGCAATGTCTGCCCTAACTCGATTCGAACTGAATAGAAAGGGAGAACAAAAGAGAAAGGGAGAGAAAGAGAGACCTATCGCTCGTCGTTTGTCTGCGCTCCTCGTCGATCGTCTCTTCTCGTCGGTCGTCTCTCCTCGTCGGTCGTAACTCGTGTCTCGTCGTCACTCGTTAAGGTACATGTTGCTCTTCTTCATTCTTCTTCTTCTTCATTCTTCTCAATTCAGTGTTGTAAAATGACATTATTACCCTTGTGTTTGCATAAGAAATTTTTGACCTTGTTGTCGTCGTCTTCTCCATACCCTA